GACGGTTGAAGTTCCCTACACAAGATGACGACAGAGACTGCATAATAAGTTTGTGGTTTTGTCACCACTTTAGACTGTATGTTAGGGAGTCATTCAAACATTAGCTGTAAAGTGATATTTGTTAACTGGCAATGCTTTTTGCTGTTCTGACCGTCAGCTGCAGATATGAATGAGCGGCGGAAGCAAGTAGTTCCTTGTACAAAAGGGTTTTTGAGACTCTCTGTGTTTGATTTTATTTTTTATACACACGATTATGCTGTCGAACTGTTGTATAAACACAAAATCACACTCATAGCATTGCGATATGGCTTTTTCGGCACTGGTGGGGGGCACCAATACACTCGGCTTGTGGCTTTAAGCCAACACACGCCTCCCACCAGTGCCTAGAATGATGTTGAGCATTTTGCTTCCCAGAATAGCATTATTGTATCAAATCTCCATAAAATTGCCTTGATCACAGCAAGAAGGTTGCTGGTTCGAGCCTCGGCTGGGTCAGTTGGCGTTTCTGTGTGGAGTTTGCATGTTCTCCCCATGTTCGCATGGGTTTCCTCAGGGTGCTATGGTTTCCCCCACAGTCCAAAGACATCCGGTATTGTCTATACTGTATGAGTGTGAATGGGTGTGTATGGATGTTTCCCAAAGATGGGTTGCAGCTTGAAGGGCATCTGCTGCGTAAAAATGTGCTGGATAAGTTGGTGGTTCATTCTGCTTTGGCGACCCAGGATTAAAAAAGGGACTCAGCCGAAAAGAAAAGAAATGAATGAATGTAAATGAATATCAAATCTAGAACTACACAGAAAAAACACTTGATAATCATAAGTTATGATTAATTCCTGTTCAAATGCAGGGTTATACGACTGTTAATCATGTTTTGTACAGTCTGTATCGATGTATGTAAGGAAGGCTCCTGCAGCTGTTAGGAATTTTGTTATTCACCGAGTGCTTCTGTAATCTGGCCTCAGGGTTTTTAATGCAGTGTTCAATCACCGGGGGCAAAATTTTAGCTTGCTAAAACATTCAGCTACACCATAAACATTTTATTACAAAACTGACTCCAAATCAGCCATCAGCACCAATGCCTGCTTTTTATAACCTCACTTCCTGCTGGAAACCACACTTGCTCAGCTCTCTTTATATGCATTTATTAATGTTTTGTGGTTAAAGGGTTTAAATCTGTTGGCGTGAGAAAGAGAAGGTAAGCACAGGGCAAAAGCTGGAATAAGGGAAGGTTGATCAATTTAAAGTTTAATGCAGGTTTGTTTGTGTTTGTGTGTTTGTTCAGGGACGGAAAGCAATCTGACAGCGAGACTCATAAATTCTTGACAGAAGGTGTTTTTTTTTCGCTCTGAACCCTATTTCTTATCTAGGATGTTTACCGAAAGCTTCTGTTTACACACAAAAATGACACCGCCAATGTGAAAAGTACCTTTTCTATATTTCCTGAACAGCAGCCAGAGGAATCACGCCCCGGTGTAGGATTTCATTTTTTTAGGATTATTGACTGAACGATGTTCCTTATTTCTCAGCACAATACAAAAGAGAGCGATGATTTGGGAATCAATTCTTGCCAACAGCACCGAAGGCAATTATTGTGCGTGTGTATGAAAGAGAGATAAAGAGAGAATGGAAGATAGGGAGAATGAGGAGCTTAACTTTCGTCCATGTTTTTTTTTTTTCAGCTAATGTTGGGGCCTGCTTTCCGAAGCAAGGTAACACAGCCAGTCACTCTCATCTCTCCACATCGGCCAATCTGAGCCTCTGAATGCCATGTCATTCTGTTTCATTGGTTTTGTCAATTGTTTGTCAAAGTCTTGTCTTCGTGTAATGCTTGATTAAAATGAATGGCTTGCCATGTGCGTTTGCTGCTCTCCGTGCCGATGTCATCAGAAATCGAGTCCCTCCTGAGAATTGGGTCCGCCTATAGGAACCTGAGTGATCCTATTGTTTCACTAGAGTTGAAATAGGTAAAGTTTGTAGCGCATAATTATAAAATACAGTAGGCCTATATGAAATCATGTTCGGAATTTATCATGTGAAATTGGGTCACACTTTATTTTGATGGTCTATTTGTTAAATTTAAGTTATATGCCAACTTATTCTCTTCCGATTACTTGCAGAGTTTCTTATAGTCAGTTAAATGTCTGTTGAAGGACCAATATCAACAGATATTAAGCAGAGAGTCTACTAATACTCAAATGGACCATCAAAATAAAGTGTTACTAAAGTTTTTTTATGACCATTTCAGTTCTCCATTAAAATGGCATTTATTAGCCTAATATTGACCCTTTCATATAGTTATGAAAGTTATGTTATGTATAATAAAAGGCACGCATGTGTAACCCCACCGGTCCTACACCAGCCAACGTGCTCTGAGCTGGTATCGAACCGGCGACCTTCCGCATGGAAGTCGGTTGCTCTAACAAGGAGGCTAAAGACCTCGGCCTCTAGCGTTTGTTTCTAGAGCACCTTTAGAGGTCAGAGGAGTGAGGTTTACCTGCACAGCACTTACTAGCTGGCCTCCGTTACACTCATCCCCCTAAACCTCACTCCCATCCTGGTCACGGCACCAATTTAACCCCACCGGTCCTACACCACCCAACATGCTCTGAGCTGGTATCGAACTGGCGACCTTCTGCATGGGAGTCTGTTGGTCTAACAAGGAGCCTAAAGACCATGGCCTCTAGTGTCTGTTGCTAGAGCACCTTTAGAGGTCAGAAGAGGGAGGTTTGCCTGCACAGCACTTACTAGCTGGCCTCCGTCACACATGGGTCATGAAATCCAGCATTTGTCTTTTATATTGTTAAGTTAGCCCAGTTATGTGCTAGCATACAGTAATCGTACCTCTACAATTAGCCTCCTGGCTACAGCAAGCTAACACAGGTCTGATTAGCCACAAAACAAGGTATCTCAACAATAGCATTTGATCAGACATTCACCACAGACGATCCCTTAGGGGTTGTAAGGGAATTGGATTCCAGGGGTGGGACGTGATTTTTAACGACACCGTATTGTATAAACCGGAGGTTGTTAAAACTTTTATTTCAGTGTGTTAATGTACTTCCAACTGAAACGGAATATTGAGTAGGAGGCAAAGCTTTCTCTGTGCATCATTCCCTCATAGCAAACTAACCGTAAGAGAAGTATGGTGAAAAAGATTGTGGCTGAAGCAGTCAAACTGACGTTAACAGAAAGGGATCACCACTCCAAGTGTGGAAGCAAATGGTCAGACTTTGATTTAAGATTACAAAAGTGGAGACTTGACAGTGCATTAACTTGCATGGATTAATTGTTCACCTAAAGAATAATAGCGACTATGCATACATGGACATCAGTAATCAAATTATTTGCCTTAATCTGAATAAGACAATAATATGATTAAGGTGTTTATGTGAGTTTCTTTCTAAATGTTCCTGTCATGATCCCGTTTTACATGTTATAGCACATAGAGTGATTAATGTCATTGCGTCACCACAATATTCACATTTCCTCTAGAGTTTCATGTTATTTCGGGTGTTTTATTTCTAATTTGTCGACTTTAACGGAAGTTTGGCACTTTCACTTTCATTCAGAAACATTAAATGCATGCCCCCATTCCAAACGAGATATTGAATGTGAGCATTACCTGCTGGAAGAGTGTTATTTTAATGGAATTTGATACCACACGCCGCATAAGGAAAAAAACCTTTGCATATTGTGATACAGGTGTCTGTGGTCCTTCATTGACTCCGTAGGTGCAGAGAACATTGTCAAACAGCTGTTTGTGTATAGACTATCCTGTCACAAAATGCGGTTAAAATCCTACATGACAGTAATACATGACAGTTTGATTGTGGTGTTTACATGTCTCTACTGCACTTCAACAATGTGACACTAAACATCTGTCTAGTTCGATTATGACTTTAGTCGGATTAAGGTGATCAAAAAACGCTGTTTACATGGTAGACTCAGAGTACTGTCTTAATCCTATTAAAATCGGATTATTGGTGTTAATGTAAATGTACTTAATGTAGGCTAGTAAAATAAGCTATATAAATTAAGATTTTGCACTGACGTTGGGAGCAAAAAATATCTGCTAGTATTATTTAGCTACAAATCGCGTGTACAGAATCTGTTTGGGAAACAGCGTCTATTTATCATTATGGAACGCATCTGAACTGAATGTTTTGAGAATTGCATAGGAGGGCCAACGGCGCCTGTAATAAAAAGGAAATAAATTGTGCCATTTTTATATTTATTTCAAAGGGTTTTCATGCCTTATAAAATGAAAGCACAGAACAGATTCACAATTAGGAGCAAAGGGGCGTCCCATGGTGGTACGGTGGTATGGGTTGGGATCAGCTCTTCAATGTTTATTACCAACCTTTATAGACAGATTAAAAATACGGAATAAATACGAGAAAATACCTTTACAGTATAATAGCGGGATAGAACTGTAAAATACGGGAGAATCCTGGGAAAAACGGGAGGGTTGACAGGTATGACCAGAACTGCCACTAGGGCCCTTCCAAATCTTCACATGACATTTGCCTTTTAAAGCCTTTCTCTCTCTCTTCATCTTATATAAACATATTTTAGATCTATAAATATGCGCACAAACAGTTGTCTTTCCAAGGTGGGTGTTGTGATCCAGCATGTGTCCTGTTCCGGAAAAATCAACAAGCACCACTTGAGATGACAAAAGCAAGCTGACAGAGCGTAATCTCCAACAGAGAAATTTTGGCTCCATTCTTTTCTCTTTCTTCTATAGTACCCCCCTGCTTTTACTTTTCTTTAGCTCCCGCTTTGCGACTAAAACCTGTGATCAATAGCTCTGCAGGGAGCATCTGCTCGCGTTTGTGCTCCTCTCTGTTGTAATAAGTCTAACATCTCATCTCATTTTCTCTTTCTTTCCCCCCCATTCATCTGTCTGTCTGTCTGTCTGTGAATGTGTTTGTTCTGCTTGCATGCTTGCATGACTGGATGAATGTGTCACCCCCTTTCATCCACTTTTCTCCAAGCAGACCCGGAGCGTGGCGGAGGTCACATGATCTCCACAGATGACCTGGAGTACCCGCGCGAGTATCGCACGCTGGGCAACAACACTCGGAGGTTCTCTAACGTGGGTCTGGTCCACACCTCCGAGCACCGGCACACGGTCATCGCCGCCCAGAGTCTGGAGACCCTCACCAACCTGCACAAGGCTGACATGGAGCGCAAACGGGATGTCTTCATGGACCACCTGAAGAACAAGTACCCGCCCCAGCACTCACTGCCACCCTCACCATCACCCTCACACGGCAGCATGAGGGGCAGCGCTGAGAGGAGTGCACGAGAACAGGTATGAGCAAGGGTTAACTTGTGGGATGATGTGCTGATTCAATAATAATATTCCTGTGACCAGGTGAAACTTTCCGATTTAGGGGTAGATAAAGATTGGCATTGGGGCATTTTGAATTTGATAGTTTTTTTTTTTGTTCGTTTTTTTGTTTTGCATTTTGTTTTGTGTTTTGTGTTCTGTTTTGTTTTGTTCTGTTTTTGTTTCTTGTTTTATTTTTTGTTTTATTAACATAATAAAGAAGTGCAATATTGATTATTTGGTTTATTTATTATTTAGAATATTATTTAAACTTTGTTAGGATTTTTTCATTTATTCCTTCATTTTTTTTTTTTTTGACTTAGTCCCAACCTATCCAGCATATGTTTTATGCAGCGGATGCCTTTCCAGCTGCAACTCAAACTAAGAAACACCTATACACTCTTGCATTCACACACATACACTACGGCCATTTTAGCTTATTGATTTCACCTAAACCACATGTCTTTGGACTGTGGGGGAAACCGGAGCATTAGGAGGAAACCCACAAGAACACGGGGGAACATGCAAACTGACCCAGCCGGGGCTCAAACAGGCAACCTTCTTGCTGTGAGACCATCGTGCTACCCACTGGAAGCACCGTTGGGAGTTTTTATTTTACCTTAATAATAATATTTATTAGAACATCTATGACAGTACATTATTAATACATATATACATGCATATACACATATACATTTTTTATCTTCATCATCATCATCATCATCATTTTAATATTATTATTAGTGTTTTGTTTCATTTATAAAGTGTCTACATTATATCTATTAATTTAAGCGATTTTTAAGATATTTTCAATTTATTTATTCATTGGCTCACAAGGTATTATTCTGCAGGCCCCTGACAATTTCTTATGAATTAAAAAAGCTGTTAATTCACAACTTTTATGCATTTTATTATAAAAAATATAGTAAATATGTAATATTGTGAAAAATTAGGGCTTTTCATGTCATTGCTATTGATTTTGGAAGGCAGCTGTCTATTTATTTAAGCTATTTAAAACATATGTTCAGTCTACTTATTTGTTATTATCACTAAACTACATATGATAAGTGAGTTTTATATTTATAAGGATTCTTTTACTCACCAATAGAGCATGTATTTTATAAAACATATATAATAAAACAGGGATATTGTGAAATAGATATTTTTAATACATTTTCACATGTAATTTATTCCTGTGGTGACATTTCAGCAGCCTTTACTCCAGTGTCAAATGATCCTTCGGGAATCATTTCTGGTATCTGAGTTCAGGCTGTGAATGGTTGGTTTTTACCTTTTCATAGACGATTAAGTCTCTTATTTCTGTGTCTATGATAGTTGTTTCAGGAACATATGCTGCCAGTGTAAATTGCATTAACCATGCATGGACACACTCTCACACACACAACATGTGGCTTTTGAAATGATACCCATCTGAGAGGTCTACTGAAGCAGACACCGACACAGAGAGTCTGCAGTGCATATAAACACTTCAGTCACTGGTGGAATAGGCTTCATATGCTGCCGTTTCCCCAGCTTTCACACAGCTTGAGAGAAGCTGTCAAAATGTCATTAAAACATTTTGTACTCACCATAGAAAACAAGCAGTTTCTTTCTGGAGTACAGCAGAAGAGCAGGTAATGTGTGAATGGAGCAACTGGGTCTTGTGGGAGAGGGTGACGTAATGTTGAACTCAAATTTAAATGATGTCACTGCATCAAACCAGTGTCAGCCAATCAGCTGTGTGCATGAAGAGAGAGAAAGGGGGAGAGAGACATGCAGGTAACAGACACATTTACACTTTCAAAACCTGCTGCGCTGATATTGTTAGAAGGATGAGTGAGGAAAAAAGACACTTTACGGCTTCAGTCCTTAAATTATACCCATCATGGCTTTATCTTTCTATCTAATGGTTATAAATAGTTGAAGTCAGAATTAATAGCCCTCCTGGCTATTTTCTTTTCAACACATTTCTAAACATAATTATAGTTTAATAAGTAATTTAAACTAACTGATTTATTTTTGCTGTGATGAAAATTCCTGATATTTTAGTTGATATTTTTCAAGAAACAGTACTAGTATTCAGCTTAAAGTGACATTTAAAGGCCTAACTAGGTTATTTAGGTTAACTAGGCAAGTTAGTGTAAATGAGCAAGTCGTTGTATAGCAATGATTTGTTCTATAGATTATCCAAAAAATATTGCTAATAGTATTGATATTCAAATAGTTTACAACTGCTTTTCAGTCGAAATAGGACAAATAAGACTTTCTCCAGAAGAAAAAAAACGTTATCGAAAATATAAATACTCCTTCCTCTTTGGGCTTGACATTAACACCTGCCAACCCACCAAATGTGGGAAGATTTCAGCTGTGGTGGGTCAGACAGACACTCCCATATAGCCACTTTGGCTGGTTGAAAATAATTAGACATTTGTAGTTTTCTTAAAAGCAGGTCCAATATGCATCCATGCCTAGAAACAGAACTGGTGCAATCGGTTCTCTTTGAAATAGACTGGACAAAAAGCAATGCTTTTGCACCCACAGGCATGCTGCTTTCAAGAGCTTTAGATTTTTTAAATAATTATTTCTAATAATTTGCAGTGGTTACTGTTTTCACTTTAATCAATCTATGAACAAATTATTAATTAGCCCATTCCCATGATCATCATTTCATTATGCTTTCTTTTGTTTATAGTTATTTTTGTTAATATGGTTCAACTATCATGTTTTACAATAACATTGCTTTAATATGAGGTTGACTTCCATTTATGTGTAGCTGACTGGTGATCTGAGACCTTAAACAGGACAGATTACTGTGCATACTTTTAGATACATAACAATAATTATTTTTAAAATGTCATTTTTTTAAAGAAGTTTTGTTAAATAAAAAAGGTATATATACAGCTATATTTTGCTTCTTTTGACACATTATTTAAAATTTGTTGCTAAGAAATAATTATTTATTTATTGTTGGTGTGGTCAGAGATAAATTTGCTAAATTCTTCATTGAGCTATGAAAAGTCATGTGAAATAAAAACTAATAGCAATGTGACACTTATGAAAGCACAACCCATTTGCTCTTGCACATTGAGCAAGCTCATACACAACACACAAAAAGTGAAATGAATGAGGAGGTACAGTATGTGAACAAAGCAATTTTAAATCAAAAAATTTTAGCATATCAAAATCAAATTTATGCATATAAAATGTTTTCTCAACAACAAAATTGTGGCTAGTTAAAATAGTGAGTGGCTAGTAATGTTGGAAATCTACTAGCCACAGTGACCTGTGATCAAAAAAGTTAATGTCAAGCCCTGCTTGTGAAACATTTGAAAAAGAAAAAAAAAAACACAGGAGTTAATCACAGGAAAAGAATTTTGACTTCAACTGTTTATACCTCTAGAAAATTATTTAATGTAACTAAAAAGAGACTCAGTTGTGGTAGTATTCAATAGGTCTCTCAGTAGTCAACACCATATGCTGTGTTGTTGTTGTTCACATATGGGTGTCCTAACCAGGGCCAGTTTAAAGGGCCAGTTCACCATATATATTCAAGTATATAAGTACATTATTTCACTTTTGAATGTCAATGAATGATGTCAAGCCAGCACGGTGGCTCAGTGGTTAGTACTTACACCTCACAACAAGAAGTTCGCTGATTCAAGCCCTGGCTGGGTCAATTGACATTTCTGTGGGGAGTTTGCATGTTCTCCTCGTGTTCACATGGGTTTGCGGTTTCCCCCTACAGTCCAAAGACAAGCGGTATAAGAGAATTGGGTAAACAAAATAGGCTGTAGTGTATGAGAGTGAGTGAATGTGAGAGTGTATGGGTGTTTCCCAATACTGGGTTGTGGTTGGAAGGGCATCTGTTGCATAAAACATGTGCTGAAATAGTTGGTGGTTCATTCCACTATGGCGACCTCGGATAATTAACGGACTCAGCCGAAGGAAAATTAATAAATGAATGAATAATGTCAATAATTACTAAATAAAATAAAAGTACACCTGATATAAAACTTCCATATGCACCATTAAAGTCCAGTACCATCACAAGGCTTCTTCCCAATGCCCTAATCCCATCAAACAGTTTACCCTCCAAAGTGACAGCTTCAAAGGGATTAGGGCATTGAGGCGAATCCTTCAAATGGAATGTAGTGTACAACTTAGTAGACAGAACAGTTGAAAATGTCACAATGCTATCTAAATATCTTCTGATACTTAGGGGTTAGTCAGAAAAGCTTATCGACTGATTCAGAAAATAATTCAAACAATACATTGATCAACCTAGTCTAATGTTTTTTTTTTTCTTTGCAGTTACAATGAATGGCATCAAAAACATGCAACAGTGTCATAAAATAAACTAACTCAAATCAAATCCATTGTATTGTCATATTATCAGCAGCACGTGTGCTTTGATAAGTGAAAAGCTTAGGTGCTGGCTCCAGACAGTACAAAATAAAGAGTGCAAACAATGACAGTGCAACATACAGACAGTGCAAATACAATGAATGTGCAAAATACAACAGCAAACTCCCAATAAAACAGGATAATGTAAAATTGACAGCGACATGTACAATGAATAGGTGTCCACATAGTTGTAGGCAGTATTGTTTTAAGTATGGATTGGTTTAAGTGCAGTGCATGCTACATATTGATGGTGTGCAGTGAGGGGTATGGAAGAGTCTGTGTGGGGTGTGTTAAGTGTTCATCAGCCTGATAGTCTGAGGGACGAAGCTTTCCTTTAGCCGGCTAGTGCGTGACCGGATGCTGTGGAACCAACGGTTGCAGAGAGAAAAGTCTATGGCTTAAGTGGGTAGAGTCGCTGATGATTCTCTTGGCTTTCTTCATGCACCACCTGGTGTAAATGTCCTGTGAGGGAAGCTCACCTTGTACTATGCGTCCAGCTGTTTGCACAATCCCATATAGGCCCGTGCGATTGCTGCAAGAGAGACTAAAATTGGTTAATTTGACAAATATTATGTTGG